ACTCCTCTGAAACTACAAGGCCACTGGAGATGGAACTTTGCATGAATGGTCCCAGCTATGCTGTCTCAAAACATTGCTCTCAAAATACTAAGCCATTTTCAAACATGGTCACCTTAATGCCATATTAAGAAACCCTTAATGGCTATCAATCGGCCGTCTGTTTTCAAAATGTGTTGCAAGTTAGTATTGGTGTAATTAATAGTGAGGCGTAACTTTTTTTTCAATATTAGTAAATTTTATGAATGTTGCCCTTAAAAATAAAAGTAGGTGTAAAATCAGACACCCACATCTTAGACGCCACCGCAAACTATCCTGCCTCCATGTTTCATCAAATATTCTGCATACATACAGTAGGTTTTGGCATACATTTGCCAGGAAACCAAAAAAGAGGAAAAGAAATTGTTCGAGCAACATTGGGGGAGGATGACCCAGAGACCATCCTACACCTTTGGATATACAGGAAAATAGCAAAACAAGTTCATCAAGGCTCAAACTGTCGGTTTTTTTTACCAATTTTACTTGTGTGTCAGTTACCCCTTGCCTGATTTTATTTTGAAGTTTCAAATTAAATTTTGCAAACAGATCTTGTTCTTAGGAACCACTGGGTACAGGGTTCAAACTGGTGTGTATATAATGACCAAAAGAAGATCCTAGTTAGTTCAAGGCATCACTATTTGCACCATACATCATTGTCCTAAACAATGTTGCAGAATACATTATTTCCATTTTCACAGAATCTTTCACTCCAAATTATTTTAACGTCAACATAGATATTTTTGTACCAATGAAGGCTGGAGTGCCTACAAGTCAATGGAGATACAGGGCCATTTGGCTCTATTTTTAACTGTCCGATCGGGACATTAGTTGCCCAGAAGTCTCAGGCGCCGAAACTCCGAATACAGATTTACGGGAACTGCATCCACTTGTCGTAGTTTCTAATTTCCCCGCGATTATCATCCTTAGTCTCTCGGGTTTCCGAAAATGCCCGTTTTTACCTCTACGAGTCGTGTCATTTTGGTTTATCCTCCCACGTTTATCCGCTTAAGTGCCGTTCTAAACTGCCTTTAACAGTACCCCGATGATGCATCTTTAACTAATCTATAATGCTTCTTATTATTTCATCTCTAATTAATGAGCGTTTTCGTAAACAGTTCCTATTATCTATCTTTTTGTTGGAAAATATCAACTCTAAACATTGAAAGTGATTACAGCTTAATAAGATGAATTTTTATTGCCTAAAACAAATCTGCCGCCATATATATACTCATCCTCCAATCATGTTGCAGATACCTGAACGTGTTGCAAAATATGAAAGGAAGCACTTCAAATGGAAAGAACATCTCATCACAAATACCATCAATTACAATAACAAGTTGATTTCTGCCTATTTATCCCTGTACTCATCTGAGGCTAGTATTCTAAGCACTACTTAGCTTTGTTTATTCGGAAATATATGACTTATTCCAGTTGTTGGATTCCCTTTGAACTTGATGTGTTTATGTGAGGTGCACATTTAAGGATACCTACTTAACCTCGTATCCTGGTTAGGGGCAGACCATTGGAAATGCCTCACATGCCTTCTGCATTCAAGTTGACAAAATACTTGTTGTCCTTGTACGTTGATGTGGTGAATATGTTCTTTAAGTTCGGTTTTTGTTGTTTACATTTTTAGTGGATAATGTATGTATGAAGGTGTGTACCTCATTAGATTCTTGTTCAATTATGTACATTTATATTACAATATTTGTTGTTTTCGTTTCATGATTTTATTTTAAAGTTGTCTTTTCAGGGATGTTGGATTAATTCATTTATATTCTTTTGTAACTTTTAAATATTTTTTAAGTTTCTATGTTATATATAGATAGCATATAAGGTATATGTCATAGATGTGTGTAACTGAAAATGCATAAGGACAGTAAATACAGTGTTATATGTGCCAAAACTGATTGTCAGCTATGCTAACCACTACTTCTTCTTTTTTCGACCCTTAATTTAAGCTTTTTTCAAATTTGAATTATGACAGCTTGCAGTTTTGTCTGTGATATATTACTAGAATATTACAATTTACATGCTTTCTTCGAATCCTGTATTTGTTGTTCTTTAATCTGTACAGATATGTTTTACCTACTGTAACGGATGGCTCTGATTTCTCAGAAACAATGGGTTGGGGATTGTCTGGTTAAATGTCCAGAGAAACAGCGGGTTCAGGTTTGTGAGAAGAGTTGGGACTTTATTCAGAGTAACTACCGCTCAGGGTTTGTGAAAAAGAGTTGGAGTTAAATGGGGAGAAACGACGGATACGGGTTTGTGAGAAACGGATTCCCTTCAGAGAGAAACGACAGGGCGTTCTGTTAGAACGGAGAAACGGCGGGTCATTGTTCGTGAGAAACAGGGCATTCTGTTAGAACGGAGAAACGGCTGTTCTTTGTTTGTGAGAAATAGAGTGTTCTGTTAGAACGGAGAAACGGCTGTTCTTTGTTTGTGAGAAATAGAGTGTTCTGTTAGAACGGAGAAACGGCTGTTTTTTTGTTTGTGAGAAATAGGGTGTTCTGTTAGAATGGAGAAACGGCTGGTCATGGTTTGTGAGAAACAGCGGGTTGAGGATAGAACTAAAACGCGGGTTCTGTTTAGGGAGTAACGTCGGCCTAGGTTTGTCAACACCTAATGCTGGGTAGACAGCAGCAGTGGGTCTAGATTTGCCTTGTAAAAGATGTAGAGAAGCAGTGAAACATGTTTTTAGACAGGTGGTCCAATTTCGAGCATTGGTTCCTTCGTTTTTGGATAGTGTAAGTCAAAGAACGACAGAAATTCACCGTCACAGTGGAATTGTTGGGCGATTATCTCCTATGAACAAAATGCCAACACGATACAACAAAGAGAGATACAACAAAGATACAACTGTGTGAGTGAGTTACGAAATAACGTCGCATCTGCATTATTTCAGCCATATTTGCCTTCCGAAGGATGAGGATATATTGACGATACTTAATGGTGATTGACAAAAACCTTACGTTTTTGGATTAGAATTGATTTGTTTTCACTGGTGGCGTAGAAAATTATCAAATCCTACGCCATTTGACAACCATCGTTGAATATTCTATTTATTATATAAGTCAAGCTATTTTGCGAGAATTTTATTCTCCAACTAACTGCTCGAACCGTTAACCGTAGGGACAAACACCCCATATAGTGAGCAACATAGTTCCATCTTCGGAGATGAACGGCACATAGTAACAAATTTATTATTATGTTTTCGATACAACCAAACTGAAACCAAACACATTCTCAACTTATTAAACTTATATTTAACTTGCTAGAATGGTGTGTAATGCTTGAGAAAGTATATGCATTTTGCGACTCTGTCAGACCTGGCGTACATTCAAAACAGGTGTCTATTCAAGAATTTACGGTTGGCGAGTCTCTGGGCCAACTAAATGTGATCTGACTTTCACTCAATACGGGTGCTGGAGGTAAGGCACGGGACACTCTTACCCTGCACTGAGTGTGATCACTGCATGTTTAAATTGTTTCGTGAGTGTAGCGGCTGTGGATATTTTAAATGTTTTTTGTTTTGTTTGTTTGTTGTTTAACGCCGCACTCAGAAATGTGTTCCAGGCTATATGACGGCGGTCTGTAAATAATCGAATGAGTACCAGACAATCCAGTGATTGACATCATGAACATTGATCCACGCAATTGGGATACAATGACATGCATCAACCAAGTCAAAGAGTCTGGCCACCCCATCCCGTTAGTTGCCTCTTAACGGTTAAGATTGTGTTTGTTTGTTGAAAGCCGCACTCAGCAATATTGAGCTATATTATGGCGGTCTGTAAATAATCAAGTCTGGACCAAACAATCCAGTGATTGATATCATGAGCATCGATCCACGCAATTGGGATAATACGATCTGCATCAACCAAGTCAGCAAGCCTGACCACCCATAACGGTTAAGAGTGCTGACTCGTCGCTCTAACGACAAGGGATCGATTCTCTATGAGTACCATGTGTAAAACCCTTTTGCTAGTTTTACGGACCGTGATAAGTGAGGCTGGAATCCTTCTAAAAGCGGACAGCCTTCGTGGTCTAGTGGTAGAGCGTCCGCCCGGAGAGGGGAAGGTACGGAGTTCGATCCCCGGCCGCGTCATACCAAAAGACGATAAAAGATGGTACTTGTAGTTACCCTGTCTGGCGCTCGGCATTAAGTGGCTGGTCGGCTCGGAGTCAGTATACTGTGTCTGAGTGGGGTATTCATGTTAAACTGCGGGATGGTATCTCAGTGGGCTAGCACTATAAATCGGCATCAGTCCGATCTAGTACAAGCAGCCACATACACACAGGTGCATGCACGTCGCTATATAAGTGCAATAAACCCAATTTCACCTCACCTCACCTCACCTCACCTCACCTCTTCTAAAAGCGACGTAAAACTAACTACTTACTAGTGAGTATGGATTCTTTTCTAGCGGTTCCTCTATAATTACACGGTTTAAAACGGATATGCAGTTTTATGATGTAATCAGACAGTGTTTGGATGCGGGGCTCCTTGTAAGGGTGCAGCATGTCTTTGTTTAACTTAATCTAAGTGTTGGGCTCAGTCTGCTCACTTCAAATGTGAAGCCGCCATATGTTACGTAGATGTAACTAAATGCCAATAAGCATTATGGAATCAACCACATAACCAAATCTTTAGCCGGAGGGAGACTTCTATAAACTGTCACTTGTCTCCTTTGGTAAATAAAATGTGTTTAAAAAAGATCGCTAAAAATCAGACAACGGCTCTGAGAACTTTTCAGTGAAAAGCGATAGGCCAACATAGCTGTAATCAAAATGCCTTAACTGTACGTGATTAACACAAGTGCAAACGAGCAGGTTGTTCTACGTCTTAACAAGTAAAGTTAACGCCCAATCACTCATTCAATGCTCATGTAAATGTATGTACGAGACACTGTAGGCTGGGGCGATATTTTATGAGAAAATACAAACACAACCACAAAAAGAAATGTGCCTGGTTTTTTTATTCAGGTTACAGATTCAAGAACACGAATTCAAGAACTTGACTTGGTATCCTGCAAAATAAAGAAAACATGTATGAGGTAATAAGTCCTACTCTTCATGCAACAGCGGTGACGGAACACCCAATCAGTCAATTCCCTAGTACCCCCTTTACCCATGTCACAACTATGCACTGATTCAGAACGCAGACACATGACTCTCTAGAACTACAGGTGTTTTCAATTACTTGCAAATACAGAAACGGACGCTTCTTAACTACCATTCACTAAATGCTCCCAAACTCGTATCATGCCATGTACTTCCTATCCGAAAACATAATTTCCAAATCGTGATCTTATTTAAGACAACTTCGTGAGCGCAACAGAAACTGGAACAGAAGCAACCGTGTTTTGTAAGAGCATCAAAGATGACCTTGACCTTGGAAAGATACATGGTCGTTATGACTTGACCTGTAATGGAATGTCCTCAGATCTTTGGGTAGCTTTAATTAGAGTGGGTTGCCTGCGAGCTATTCTAATCTGGACTCCCAAGGGGGCTGCCAGCAAGTACCCATTTGGACACTCCTTTTGCCATGCCAGAAAACCATCGAGGTGGGTTCTATTCTCTGAAGTTCCTGATTGTGTTTCTGGGTGTGACAACACTATGCCCATGAACGTGTTGTTTTGACTAATGTGGTAAATGTCGAAGACCTGCATCACCTCGGGCTAATATGTCGCGATATAACTGACACAGTATTCGAAACAGCGGTAAAAGAAAACTTACTTACTCGGGTTTACACAGAAGAACATGCCCTTCCTAGTTCCCCTTCTTCGCGGCTTCCACTTCGTTGCAGTATTTTATGTGACTAACTGCCAACTGCAAAAGGGTCAAAGACAAATAATAATCTGGAATATTCCCAGGATCGGGTTATATAAAAAGACAATAAATTTGTTTCCTTTGTTTGATGTTTAACTTCACAACCAGCAATATTCCCGCTGTAAGTCTTGCCATGTTGTTGGGCGCGGTATGAATAAATTAATGAATAAATTAATTAACTAGTAAATATAAATACTATTTAGACCTTTATTACCCAATATTATGGACCTTCGGTTCAGGTAAACTGCCACCCAAGGCATTTTACTCCGAAAAGACGCTAACAGACATTAGACGAGTGCACAACCTTGACGTGAACCTACCATTTGCAGAACAGTTTCCATTGCTGCTTCGGTATTTGTCTCTTTCTGAAAAGGAAAAGAAGAGGGGTGTACTGAAAATCAATTCCTATCTAGTAAAACCTACCAACATATGATAAGCCCAACATTAATATTTCTGTTCCGTTGGAATATAAAGTTAAGACAAAAAAAACCCCAAAACAAATCCATACATAATAGTCTTCCCATAAATGTCTCTCCAGCTTTCTTCAAAATTTAATGTAATACTTCTTTGTGTTTCTTTGTTGTCTATTTGAACGTGGCACCCAGTAAGATATACCGATCACTTTCAGAGAGCAGTTCTGATGAGTTCTACAACCTATTGCTATAGTCCAATCTGATAGGAACCTGTAGAAAGGAGTTTTGGAAATTGTTTGTTTATTAATTGTTGAGCGACACACTAACCAATATTCCAGCTACAGGGGATTGTAAAGTTAGCAGCTTCAATATATATAGCCAATACCAGTATCATAGTACAACATTGAAGAAAAGGGATGTACTGAAGTCAACATACCAAGTTATGTGAGGACGAATTCATCAATTTTCACTATATATACCTGTGTAAAACTATACACTAATCTCAAGTCAATCTTAGTGCAGGTGTTTACCATTTTTTCTTAAACCCGTCATCATTGATATACTGCCCCTGGACCAAGGAAATACAAATACAATTTTCAAAACGCGGTGTTAACTCAAACCGTTCAGTTTAATGAAGTCCTGCTGCAATGCAGTCCAGAAAGTATCAACGTGTTGGCAGACATGCTAAAGGCTGGGGTTGTGTACTCACGTATTCTAAAAAAAAGATACAACAATTACATATATATGCGTATATTTAGACATTTTCTAAGTATAAACACTGAAATCATTGCTGGGGATTTATTGCTTCTTACTAGAGGTGAGGTGAGGTGAGGTGAGGTGAGGTGAAATGGGGTTTAACGTCCCGCCCAAGATTATTGCACTTATATAGCGACGTGCATGCACGTGTGTGTGTGGCTACTTGTACCAGTCCGAGTGATGCCGATTTATAGTGCTAGCTCACTGAGATACCATGCTGCAGTTTAACATGAATACCCCACTGAGACACAGTATACTGACTCCGAGCCGACCAGTTTTAGCCCCTTAATGCCGAGCGCCAGACAGGGTAACAACAAGTACCTTCCGCTCTCCGCGAGGACGCTCTACCCCTCGACCACGGAGGCGGTCTTGTTATAAGAGTTCATTCGCTATTTATTAAAGTCTGAACTATATGTTTATCAGTGGTTATAGTAAATCTTTACATCAGTATATATATATAGCATTCAAATATGAAAATCGAATCTTGACCAAACAATCCAGTGAATGTTTTTTGCAAGCAACGATCAGTTGGTTTTACTATAACGATCAACGAAGTGCCAGGGTCTGACCAACCTATCCATTCAGCCGCCTCGTACGACCTGTATATGTTGCTATAACCACGAATAGATGGCTATATCATCCAATACAGGATAGAGCGCTACAAACAACTGCAATTATATACACCTGGGAAAAGGTTAGGCACAGCTTTGTAGATTTTACCAAATAATGTAGTACCTTTTGAAATCGTATCCTTTTTAAATGTTAGGATAAAACACATTTACTTTTGCTTACAAGGTTACATACCAATGCTGAAATACAGTAACAAAATTTGATTCTCTGATGACATGTATTGTAAATGATCCACGACAATAGTTATTTAACGACTCTTTCATTTGCTTATTGTCTGTCTTTATATCCCAGAATACCATCGCGGGTTCAAATGTAAACGCAGTCTGTTTTAAGTTAAGAGTAAGACTGCAGTATTGATGTTACTTTTGCATGTATGGACGAAAAACTACACGTCGAGCAATGAGTGAGTGAGGGAGTATGGTTTTACGCCGCTTTTAGCAATATTCCAGCAATATCACGGCGGGGGACACCAGAAATGGGCTTCACACATTGTACCCATGTCGGGAATCGAACCCGGGTCTACGGCGTGACGAGCGAACGCTTTAACCACTAGGCTACCCGACCGCCCCTCGGTTTTCAATGAGATCAATGTGCCATGTAGATATATCCAAAAAATATATGGAAGTTCTGGATATATGAAAATAAAGGATTGGTGGCGCTTAATTTAATTTGTTTCCAGGTGTAAAATATATGATGTATAATCCTTACTTCCGAGTGCGTTCACTGCATCCTTTAGTGTCTTTTCTGCCTTGGAATACTGCAACAGTGGGGTCGTTTAAATCATTGATGTATCGACGTCGACGAGCCAACACTACTTTTGTCATCGACAATTTCAAAAGGGAAGTTTAAATAATCATGCGATGTAATTCTGAATCATAACTTATAAAACAATGCCAACGCCTTTAAATTATCGTCAAGTGATATTGTTTAGGGCTTAGCAAAGTGTAGTAAAATAACCCAAATGTCATTATAAAATTAAACTGATACGTTTCCATCTACAAGAGATGTTTTGTTTGTTTGCTTGTTTGTGTGTTGTTTAACGCAGCCCTCGGCAATATTCCAGCTATATGACGGCGGTCTGTAAATAATCAAGTCTGGACCAGACAATCCAGTGATTGATACCATAAGAATCGATCCATGCAAGTGGGATACGATGACATGCATCAACCAAGTCAGCGAGCCTGAACACCCGATCCCGTTAGTCGCCTTTTACGACAAGCATAGTTGCCTTTTTAACGCCACACTAAAATTTAGCAATATTCTAGATATATGACGGTTGCCTGTGACAGTAGTTGCTACCATGAACAACGACCCACAGCGTTGAGTATATTATTGACTCACAAACAACAATTCACCAAACCTTGTCAATTAAAATGCCTCGTACCGACCAGTATACGATGTTTGGGACATATTCTAACCCAGAATACCATCGGGGGTTCAAATGTAAACGCAGTCTGTTTTAAGTTAAGAGTAAGACTGCACTATTGATGTTGCTTTTGCATGTATGGACGAAAAACTACACGTCGAGCAAATAGTGAGTGAGGGAGTATGGTTTTACTCCGTTTTTAGCAATATTTCAGCAATATCACGGCGGGGGACACCAGAAATTGACTTCACACATTGTACCCATGTCGGGAATCGAACCCGGGTCTTTGGCGTGACGGGCGAACGCTTTAACCACGAGGCTTCCCGACCGCCAAATCGAGCAAAGCGTGTACAAAACGTACAATGTACAATGTGCATGTATAGGGACGAATAGAAATACGTACATTTTCTGAAGAATAAACATATCAAATTAACAGCCTTAAAACTAATCTGAACTATAAGATACACGAAATAGAAAATGTTACAGCGATGGATATTTCAACCACGTCAGTGCTTTCTTGTAGAACCGTACTCAAAGCTCCATCGGGGGCACGGGTGGCCCAGTCGTCTAAGGCGCCGCGATTCGCTGTGCAGAGTTGCGTCCCTTGGGCACGCCAGAAACCTATGATTGTGGGTTCGAATCCCGGTTCGCCCCGATTATGTTTCTAGGTTTGTCAGCACCATACCCGTGCTCGTGGGTTTTACCGAAGCGGTAAACGTCTTAGACCTGCATCGCTTCGAGCTTTCCTCCCACATTAAGCTGACACGCCGCGATATAACTGGAATACTGTTAAAAGCGGCGTTAAATCCAACTCACTCACTATAAGATACACATGTACTGGCAAAATAATATCACGTGTACTTACGCCCATGTCATTAACCGTCTTGCAAAAGTGGACGAGAGGAAACGTCGACTGAAATATAGTGCATACATCTTATTAACGTGAAACTAGTGCGATGCTTACAAATATACATTTAAATCGAAAAGACAAATACCAGGTTTCATTAAACTCGGTCCGATATTTTGTCAGAAAAGATGAATCCAGTAAACATCTAATTTGCATCCTAAACTCGCGGAAGGGCAAATGCCTTGATTTTGTTTGGTTTTGTTGTTTTACGCCGCACTCAGCAATATTCCAGCTATATGACGGCGGTCTGTGAATAATCGAGTCTGGACCAGACAATCCAGTGATTGATATCATAAACATCGATCCACGCAAGTGGGATCGATGACATGCATCAACCAAGTCAGCGAGCCTGACCACCCGATCCCGTTAGTTGCCTTTTACGACAAGCTTAGTCACCTTTTACGGCAAGCATGGGTTGCTAAAGACCTATTCTACCCCGGAATCTTCACCGGTCGCAAATGCCTTCATCCTACCTTGCCCGTCTGTAAAGCATCTTCCTCCCCGGATGGCGCCTACAAACACAGAGGGAATTGTTTGCAGCTACACCGTTTACAGTCAATTTATGGATAAATAATAGAATATAAGTTCCACATTTTTTGGTCAAGATTAAGCTATGTAATTCAAAGATCCGAATGTCCTGAAAGCGAATTTAAAATGTGAAAAAAAAACGACCAGAGGGAGTTGTTTATCTTACAATAAAACACAACAGGGAGGATAAACCACGAGGGGTGTTTTTGTATACGATAACTAACGACGACGAGTCGTCTATTTCGCATATTAGATGTCAACATTATGTACAGCCTCTTTGAGGATGTTGATAAATTTCACAAGGTTTAAAAATATTTCCTGTATTAAATAACGGTCACTCCCTGAATACGATCCGTACGCGGCAATGTCGGACAAGTCAGGATGGTTAAGTTTAGTATTTTCTGAATATTCTCACGAATACAAAACCAACTGACGACCACTATGTGTACATTTTCTCCCATTACAGATTGCCATATCTCGCATACTTTTTGGATTCGATCGTTAGGTCATTGCCTTTATCTGCCTTGTCCATCTACCTCTAATGGGAACAATTCACTACCCTCTACAAAACAGCGTCGTCCAATTTTCGACGTCATCGAATTGCGACCGTATGATCGAAGCTCCAGATATGACGTCATGTTAGAACAATGGTTTATCGTGAAATAAACCACGCCTCCTTCTTCATTGTTCTTTGCGATTAATGGCGTTGCTATCTTATATAAAGGAAATAAAAAAATATAATTTATCCCAACATAACTAGAACAGGCGATGACAGTCAGTTACATTTTGCTACAAACCATTGTTGCTTCTCCGATGAGAAAGGCGAACGCAACAGCAATGTAAATAGCACTGAAATTCATTGTTTACGGTCTTGATTTTGGTGACTGAAAATATAACATTCACATTTTATGGCCAGGATTACGCAATATGATAAGTGCAGTTCATTATTACATAATATTAAAAACATAACATTATTCACAGCATTCTAATTACACGAATATAATGTTATGCAGGCAGCAGTGTTTCAGCAAGAATGTTAATCTGTTTCAATGTATTTTATACAACAGGCGATGCAATACAATACGAACAGTCAAAGGGCAAAATATTGTTTTCTATGTGCCAATAAAGTGTGATGAAAAAACAAAACAAAAAAAAACAACACACACAACAAAAGCATGAAGAGCAACGAGTATCACATGAATAAGATTTATAGATACGCACGTTCTGTTGTGCTTATATTGATTACATCTAGTACCTACAAACCTGCACATGCAACCATTCCTTGCACTAAACAGTGATATGTAAGGACGAACATATGATCAACGAGCATACGAACATTCACAGTCTGAGCAAACATGGACAATCAAATAATACTTACTCGTTTTCCTCGTCTGTCGTGATTTTGATGTAATTTAGTTCCTTATATATACTGCAAATGCAGATGTCGGCGCAATTTGAAAATGATAGAAAATCTATAAATTATAATAAGATGCAAGGCTACTGTAATATATATGTATCGTATGTGGTATATCCATCTGTCGCATCAGTGCCACGTGTTTGCCTGTTCTGCCTAACTTTAGTGTTAGGTTGCGCATGGAACCTTGAAACTGTCATTTCTTCAAAGTTGATGATGTTATTAAATGATGCTGTTGTTTAACTGCAATAAGGTATTATTACTAATATAATATACTGAACAGCAAAAGAAACGTCACCCCAAGTAATATTGCATGAAAAGTTGTCATTTAAATATCTGGGTAATTTTTGTCAAAGTTTCTAAATTTTAACATTGCTGACAATAAAACCCAAACGCATCACGGCAACGGCCATGGTAACCCGATGTACGTGAGTTCTTTGCAAATTGAAATGCACATGCATTCCCCCATTTCTTGGCCTATTAAAATCCACCCAGATCGGATAACATTCATTCGTTTGATGATGGTCAAATATGAGGCCTAGGAATTTGGCCTCATCTACTACCTTGATAGGAGTACCATCTAAAAATAAATCTGGATCCGTATGTGGTTTGTATTTACGACAAAAGTGAATACAGTTTGCTTTGGATTTTGGGAATTTGACAAGAAACCATCGACACCAAGCCCTGGGACGATTGCAAGCTGGACAAACCACCCGGCAAGCAGCCAATGCATTTCAAGTCCACGTAAGGACCATATACAGGCTCTCCAGTAACGCTACCAGATTACCAATACAACAGATGAGCGACCACGTAGTGGAAGACTAAGGGTTACCACCCGACGTCAGGATCGTCAGATTGTGCGACAGCATCTTCAAGATCGCTTTGTTGCTGCTGTGGAAATTGCTCGACAGACCATGGGGACACACCAGCGACACATTAGTGCTGTCGACGATTGACGAGCAGAGACCTCCACTGTCACAGGCCACACCGAGGACCCATTCTTACACCACGTCATCGCCGGGACTGTCTTCAGTGGGCAACACAGCACCAGCATTGGCGCCACCAGCAGTGGAGAAGAGATGATGAAGACGGTAAGGAGATATTATATTTAGATCAATTTTAGCTGCAGTGATGTGTGGTTGAATTCTGATTCCAAGTGGTGGAACAAGGTTTGATAGATTTTGAAACAGGTTTTCATACTGAGGGTGGAAAACACAATTGTATGCTGGATTTGATGTATTTGAGTGCAATTTAGTGATGTATTGCAGTGCAAGTTTAATGTGGCGCAGTTCGAGTGAAGGTTCATAGACCTCCACATACAAACTGTCCACGGGAGAGGTCCTAAAAGCCCCAAGACAGAGCCTTAGGCCCTGATGGTGTACAGTGTCCATTTTTTTCTAAATTGCTTTTGCAGGCTCCACCATAGACAATGGAACCACAGTCTAGTTTGGAGCGTATTAACGGTTTGTAAAGTGAAGGAGGGTGGTCTGATCCCCTCCCCACTCGGAATTGGAAACGACGTTTAACAAGTTGTGAGCCTTCAGGCACTTTGCCTTGTGATATTTGATGTGTGGTAAGAATATGAGATGACGGTCAAATATGAGGCCCGGGAATTTGACCTCCTCTACTACCTTGATAGGAGTACCTAGGAAAACTAAATCGGGATCCTTGTCAGGTTTGTATTTACGACAAAAGTGAATACAGTTTGTTTTCGATTTGGGGAATTTGAAGCCGTCTTCGTTCGCCCATTTTTGAATTTTGTTAAGACAGAGCTGTAGCTGTCTTTCTATTGTATTCATATTCTTACCACGACAAGAAATGTTCAAATCGTCCACAAAAATGGAACCATCAACGCTATTAGTTAATACTTTAGTGAGACTATTAATTTTGATGCTGAAAAGGGTGACTGATAGTATGCTGCCTTGAGGGACGCCCTGATCCTGATCGAAATGATCTGACAGGGTAGAGCCCACTCGTACTTGAAATTGTCTGTTGTTAAAAAATTGAGATATGAACTGAGGTAATCTGCCCCTCATTCCAAATTCATGCAAATCTTTTAAAATACCATGTTTCCACGTTGTATCATATGCCTTCTCTGGGTCGAAAAAGATTGATAGTATGTTGTTTGTTGACAATGGAATATTCCATAAATGATTCTAAACGCACCAAATGGTTAATGGTACTTCTGGTTTTTCGGAAACCACGCTGGATGTCACTCAGGAGGTTATTGGTCTCTAGGTACCAGATTAATCGATTGTTGACCATGCGCTCCATGGTTTTACAAACACAGCTGGTTGATGATATTGGGCGGTTGGATGGATCTGTATGATCCCGTCCTGGCTTTGGAATAGGGATAATAATAGCATTGTGCCACGAAGGAGGCATATTTTCGGTTGTCCATATTTCATCAAATATATTAAGTAACGTTCCAAACATCAATCGGGCAAGTGTTTCAGGAGCTGAAAGTGGATGTTGTCCGCTCCTGTGGAAGTGTCATGAGATTGCCCTAGGGCAGTATATAATTCATGGAGAGAAAAGAACTATGACAAGCCTGTGCATTTACAACAATTAACTGCATTAATTCGTTCAGTTGAATGAGTTATGGCAAACCTACAACAGTACAAAGTTAATTCTGACGTGACCTGTAATGGGATATCCGCGGCGATAGCGAGAACCTGTATCTGATTGTAATGAGACTGAGGTAATCGAAGCATGTTTTCTTTATTTAAAGCATTAATTGTTTATTGTTAAGCAAGTTAATCTCTGCAGCCGATGTAATATGCAGCTACCAGCCGACTCGTCTCGCATCAAAACATTGGCTGTGTAACTTCTTTGATAGGCATTTAGAAGTTGGATTACTAAGTAAGGATTAGAATCAATGGATGAACAACTTCTTTATTACAATTAAGAGCGACGTTTCGGTGTAGGTTTCTAACACCGTGTAGGTTTCGCACACCGTAATAAAAGCGTTGTTCATCCATTGATTCTTATCCTTACTTTAGGTCTGTGTACTCGCGGACAGATGACCATGGAGTTCGCTGATCGCTGTGTCGGATTAACGGGACTGATTAATGAGTGATTTCGGTAATTCGTGGCAAATTGGATGTGTCGGAGTCGGAGTGCGAGCCTGTCGGATTAACGGGTCTTAATAGCACTGATTTTAATGGTTTGATTTAATTAGTGTGGAATATAAGCCGATTGTCGGATTAACGAGTGTCGGATTAACCGTACATGACTGTAGTTTGTTATAGGGACTTATATGTCGGTCTTATTACATCTCTGGAACCTTTTATTTGTTACATTGACCGAAACACAAAGGTACGTAGTTTCAAACCTAAAGGGGGGCGGTCGGGTAGCCTAGTGGTTAAGGCGTTCGCTCGTCACGCCGGAGACCCGGGTTCGATTCCCGACATAGGTACAATGTGTGAAGCCCATTTCTGGTGTCCCCCGCCGTGATATTGCTGGAATATTGCTAAAAGCGGCGTAAAACCATACTCACTCAAACCTAAAGGGGGGCACGGGTGGCCCAGTCGTCTAAGGCGCCGCAATTCGCTGTGCAGAGTTGCATCCCTTGGGCACGCAAGAAACCTATGATTGTGGGTTCGAATCCCGGTTCGCCCCGATTATGTTTCTAGGTTTGTCAGCACCATACCCGTGCTCGTGTGTTTCATCGAAGTGGTAAACGTCTGAGACCTGCATCACTTCGGGCTTTCCTCCCACATTAAGCTGACTCGACGCGATATAACTGGAATACCGTTAAAAGCGGCGTTAAACCCAACGCACACACACACATGAATGCTGAATTCAGATTTAACTTTAAACGGTAATGTTCCGAATAACACGATCAACTGAATTTAAATGTGTCTCTTCATGTAAAGTCAAGCATATTCGATCATGTTTTCTATGCAGACGTTGTATGACCCGTGAAGATCCGGGGTAGAATAGGTCTTCAGAAACCCATGCTTGCCGTAAAAGGCGACTATGCTTGTCGTAAGAGGCGAATAACGGGATCGGGTGGTCAGGCTCGCTGACTTGGTTGATGCATGTCATCGTATCCCAAGGTCGATGCTCATGATGTCAATCACTGGATTGTCTGGTTGAGACTCGATTATTTACAGACCGCCGTCATATAGCTGGAATATTGCTGAATGCGGCGTTAAACAACAAACATACAAACAAACAAACAAACAAACAAACAAACAAGTATATGATCATGGCTACAACAAAGCTTTCGAAACGTTTTTTGACAGACATGTGGAGTAAATTTCTAGATATTTTCCTATTTTGACTTGTATCAAACGTTATAGTCCATTGCTTTTTTCAGGTGAACAGTTGACCTGCCTTTGCATGTGTTTGTAAAACATGTCATGGTTAGGCAAGAACACCATTTTGATAGTGATTGATAAACAATGGACTCTGCTTTAGCAGAAATTTCTTATTGCTATGGAAATGTTTGGTCGCTTCCAACGAGCCAGTCACACACACACACACACAGACACACACACACACACACACACACACACACTAAATGATAAATAATAAATTTTACCGAGTTTTTGATAACTTTGACTGAGGCTGAAAATTGCGGTAATGCTCGTTCCCGAGCAGATCTTGAAAACTGTACAATATGTTTTCACCAAATACGTCTAGTATAGAACTGGTGCCTTTTGATATTTTGGCATTAAAACAAATATATTTCAAGTTGCTATCGCAACAGCTTTGGCTTTTGAATGGCATTAGATCTCGTTTCCTGAGTAGATCTTGAAAACTGTAAATATTTCTTCACCAAATGTAGTACATTAATAGGCCTAGTGGGGAACTGGTGCCTTTTGACAAGTTTGGGATTTGTTGAAAGGATCTAGGCTGTAAATGGTGGTAGTCCTCGTTTCCGGTGCTAACCTTGAAAACGTTACAAAATCGCTTTACAAAACTTGGCACAGAGACAGGTCTAATTGTGAATTGGTTCCTTTTGATGGTTTGGGATTTTTTAAATGATAATTTCTGTTTTCATGGCAACATGTTTCATATATACACCTCGTCAAAATTTGTTTGATTGTAAACTTGATTTGTTCAGAGTTCAGGGGACATTAAATGTCCAAGGGTACCAAGATACCATATTGAACGGTTTTGTAGAGCTTCATTTTGATAACCATGCACTTGCCACACGTCCTGTCTTCATGGACGACACTGTCCGAGCACGAGCTGTGACTGACCATCTCCAGAACAAAGTCATTGAGACCCTGCCTTATCCTTCTCGATGCCCTGACCTGAATCAAATGGAGCATCTCTGGGATCAGCTGGGATGTAGGGTTAGAGCCAGGGACACCCCCAGTACAGAATCCCCCTGGAATTGACCCATGCATTGCATCAGGAATGGCAACACATCCTCAACATCTGATTTTCAGCATGAGCAGACGTCTTGCGGATGTGATCTGTGTATAGGGTGGCTACGCATATATTGACTTATATTGTTTATATATTTTATATATTATTTATTCAACTGTGACATGGGTACAACGTTACTGACATCTTTTTGAAATCAAGTAACACTTTTGGTTGCTTTTGTTTCGCTTTTCTCTTTTCTCTTTATCAAAACATCTTGGTGGTGTGATACGTTGTCGAGGTGTATATTATTCACGATAATTATTTACCATTGCGTGGGATATTGATGACTTTGTCCTCTTGTTGAAACTCCTCTGAAACTACAAGGCCAATGGAGCTGGAACTTTGCATGAATGGTCCCAGCTATGCTGTCTCAGAACATTGCTCTCTAAATACTAAGCCATTTTCAAACATGGTCACCTCAATGCCACATTTAGAAACCCTTAATGGTTATCAATCGGCCATCTTTTTTCAAAATGTGTTGCAAGTTAGTATTGGTGTAATTAATAGTGAGGCGTAACTACTTTTTCAATATTAGTAAATTTTATGAATGTTGCCCTTAAAAATAAAAGTAGCTGTAAAATCAGACACCCACATCTTAGACGTCACCGCAAACTAGCCTGCCTCCATGTTTCATCAAATATTCTGCATACATACAGTAGGTTTTGGCATATATTTGCCAGGGAAACCAAAAAAAAAGGAAAAGAAATTGTTCGAGCAACATTGGGGGAGGATGACCCAGAGACCATCCTACACCTTTGGATATACAGGAAAATAGCAAAACAAGTTCATCAAGGCTCAAACTGTCGGGTTTTTTACCAATTTTACTTGTGTGTCAGTTACCCCTTGCCTGATTTTATTTTGAAGTTTCAAATTAAATTTTGCAAACAGATCTTGTTCTTAGGAACCACTTGGTACAGGGTTTAAACTGGTGTGTATATAATGACCAAAAGAAGATCCTAGTTAGTTCAAGGCATCACTATTTGCACCATACATCATTGTCCTAAACGATGTTGCAGAATACTTTATTTCCATTTTCACAGAATCTTTCGCTCCAAATTATTTTAACGTCAACATAGATATTTTTGTACCAATGAAGGCTGGAGTGCCTACAAGTCAATGGAGATACAGGGCCATTTGGCTCTATTTTTAACTGTCCGATCGGGACATTAGTTGCCCAGAAGTCTAAGGCGCCGAAACTCCGAATACAGATTTACGGGAACTGCATCCGCTTGTCATAGTTTCTAATTTCCCCACGATTATCATCCTTAGTCTCTCGGGTTTCCGAAAATGCCCGTTTTTACCTCTATGAGTCGTGTCATTTTGGTTTATCCTCCCATGTTTATCCACTAAAGTGCCGTTCTAAACTGCCTTTAACAGTACCCCGATGATGCATTTTTACCGGTAACTAATCTATAATGCTTCTTATTATTTCATCTCTATAGGGAGGTGATGCTGACACCAATGGCGCTGTAGCCGGAGCTCTCTTGGGCTGTAAGTTGGGAATGTCTGGGCTTCCGGTCTCGTGGGTGTCAAAGCTGAAGCACAAAGCCTGGCTAGATGAGAAAATAGAAAGGTAAATTACATGTTCCAACGAATTAATTAATGAGCGTTTTCGTAAACAGTTTCTATTATCTATCTTTTTGATGGAAAATATCAACTCTAAACATTGAAAGTGATTACAGCTTAATAAGATGAATTTTTATTGCCTAAAACAAATCTGCCGCCATGTATATACTTATTCTCCAATCATGTTGCAGATACCTGAACGTGTTGCAAAATATGAAAGGAAGCACTTCAAATGGAAAGAACATCTCATCACAAATACCATCAATTACAATAACAAGTTGATTTCTGCCTATTTATCCCTGTACTCATCTGAGGCTAGTATTCTAAGCACTACTTAGCTTTGTTTATTCGGAAATCTATGACTTATTCCAGTTGTTGGATTCCCTTTGGACTTGATGTGTTTATGTGAGGTGCACATTTTAGGATACCTACTTAACCTCGTATCCCGGTTAGGGGCAGACCATTGGAAATGCCTCACATGCCTCCTGCATTCCAGTTGACAAAATACTTGTTGTCCTTGTACGTTGATGTGGTGTATATGTTATTTAAGTTCGGTTTTTGTTGTTTACATTTTTAGTGGATAATGTATGTATGAAGGTGTGTACCTCATTAGATTCTTGTTCAATTATGTACATTTATATTACAATATTTGTTGTTTTCGTTTCATGATTTTATTTTAAAGTTGTCTTTTCAGGGATGTTGGATTAATTCATTTATATTCTTTTGTAACTTTTAAATATTTTTTAAGTTTCTATGTTATATATAGATAGCATATAAGGTATATGTCATAGATGTGTGTAACTGAAAATGCATAAGGACAGTAAATACAGTCTTATATGTGCCAAAACTGATTGTCAGCTATGCTAACCACTACTTTTGTTTTTTCGACCCTTAATTTAAGCTTTTTTCAAAGTTGAATTATGACAGCTTGCAGTTTTGTCTGTGATATATTACTAGAATATTACAATTTACATGCTTTCTTCGAATCCTGTATTTGTTGTTCTTTAATCTGTACAGAAATGTTTTACCTACTGTAACGGATGGCTCTGATTTCTCAGAAACAATGGGTTGGGGATTGTCTGGTTAAATGTCCAGAGAAACAGCGGGTTCAGGTTTGTGAGAAGAGTTGGGACTATATTCAGAGTAACTACCGCTCAGGGTTTGTGAGAAAGAGTTGGGGTTAAATGGGGAGAAACGACGGATACGGGTTTGTGAGAAACGGATTCCCTTCGGAGAGAAACGACAGGGCGTTCTGTTAGAACGGAGAAACGGCGGGTCATTGTTCATGAGAAACAGGGCATTCTGTTAGAACGGAGAAACGGCTGTTCTTTGTTTGTGAGAAATAGGGTGTTCTGTTAGAACGGAGAAACGGCTGGTCATGGTTTGTGAGAAACAGCGGGTTTAGGATAGAACTAAAACGCGGGTTCTGTTTAGGGAGTAACGTCGGCCTAGGTTTGTCAACACCTAATGCTGGGTAGACAGCAGCAGTGGGTCTAGATTTGCCTTGTAAAAGATGTAGAGAAGCAGCGAAACATGTTTTTAGACAGGTGGTCCAATTTCGAGCATTGGTTCCTTTGTTTTTGGATAGTGTAAGTCAAAGAACGACAGAAATTCACCGTCACAGTGGAATTGTTGGGCGATTATCTCCTATGAACAAAATGCCAACAGGATACAACAAAGAGAGATACAACAAAGATACAACTGTGAGTGAGTTACGATATAACGTCGCATCTGCATTATTTCAGCCATATTTGCCTTCCGAAGGATGAGGATATATTGATGATACTTAATGGTGATTGACAAAAACAATACGTTTTTGGATTAGAATTAATTTGTTTTCACTGGTGGCGTAGAAAATGATCAAATCCTACGCCATTTGACAACCATCGTTGAATATTCTATTTATTTTAAATTCAAGCTATTTTGCGAGAATTTTATTCTCCAACTAACTGCTCACACCGTTAACCATAGGGACAAACACCCCCATATAGTGAGCAACATAGTTCCATCTTCGGAGATGAACGGCACATAGTAACAAATTTATTATTATGTTTTCGATACAACCAAACTGAAACCAAACACATTCTCAACTTATTAAACTTATATTAAACTTGCTAGAATGGTGTGTAATGCTTGAGAAAGTATATGCATTTCGCGACTCTGTCAGACCTGGCGTACATTCAAAACAGGTGTCTATTCAAGAATTTACGGTTGGCGAGTCTCTGGGCCAACTAAATTGATCTGACTTTCACTCAATACGGGTGCTGGAGGTAAGGCACAGGACACTCTTACCCTGCACTGAGTGTGATCACTGCATGTTTAAATTGTTTCGTGAGTGTAGCGGCTGTGGATATTTTAAAGGTTTTTTGTTTTGTTTGTTTGTTGTTTAACGCCGCACTCAGAGATGTTCCAGGCTATATGACGGCGGTCTGTAAAAAATCGAATCAGTACCAGACAATCCAGTGATTGACATCATGAACATCGATCCACGCAATTGGGATCGATGACATGCATCAACCAAGTCAAAGAGTCTGGCCACCCCATCCGGTTAGTCACCTCTTAACAGTTAAGATTGTGTTTGTTTCTTGAAAGCCGCACTCAGCAATATTCGAGCTATATTATGGCGGTCTGTAAATAATCGAGTCTGGACCAAACAATCCAGTTATTGATATCATGAGCATCGATCCACGCAATTGGGATAATATGATCTGCATCAACCAAGTCAGCAAGCCTGACCACCCGTAACGGTTAAGAGTGCTGGCTCGTCGCTCTAACGACAAGGGATCGATTCTCTATGAGTACCATGTGTAAAACCCTTTTGCTAGTTTTACGGACCGTGATAAGTGAGGCTGGAATTCTTCTAAAAGCGGACCGCCTCCGTGGTCTTGTGGTAGAGCGTCCGCCCGGAGAGCGGAAGGTACGGAGTTCGATCCCCGGCCGCGTCATACCAAAAGACGTTAAAAGATGGTACTTGTTGTTACCCTGTCTGGCGCTCGGCATTAAGTGGCTGGTCGGCTCGGAGTCAGTATACTGTGTCTGAGTGGGGTATTCATGTTAAACTGCGGGATGGTATCTCAGTGAGCTAGCACTATAAATCGGCATCAGTCCGGTCTAGTACAAGCAGCCACATACACACAGGTGCATGCACGTCGCTATATAAGTGCAATAAACCCAATTTCACCTCACCTCACCTCACCTCTTCTAAAAGCCACGTAAAATTAACTACTTACTTGTGAGTATGGATTCTTTTCTAGCGGTTCCTCTATAATTACAAGGTTTAAAACGGATATGCAGTTTTATGATGTAATCAGACAGTTTTTGGATGCGGGGCTCCTTGTAAGGGTGCAGCATGTCTTTGCTTAAACTTAATCTAAGTGTTGGGCTCAGTCTGCTCACTTCAAATGTGAAGCCGCCATATGTTACGTAGATGTAACTAAATGCCAATAAGCATTATGGAATCAACCACATAACCAAATCTTTAGCCGGAGGGAGACTTCTATAAACTGTCACTTGTCTCCTTTGGTAAATAAGAGGAAAAAAGAACGCTAAAAATCAGACAACGGCTCTGAGAACTTTTCAGTGAAAAGCGATAGGCCAACATAGCTGTTATCAAAATGCCTTAACTGTACGTGATTAACACAAGTGCAAACGAGCAGGTTGTTCTACGTCTTAACAATTAAAGTTCACGCCCACTCACTCATTCAATGCTCATGGTAATGTATGTACGAGACACTGTAGGCTAGGGCGATATTTTATGAGAAAATGCAAACACAACCACAGAAAGAAATGTGCCTGTTTTTTTTATTCAGGTTACAGATTCAAGAACACGAATTCAAGAACTTGACTTGGTATCCTGCAAAATAAAGAAAACATGTATGAGGTAATAAGTCCTACTCTTCATGCAACAGCGGTGACGGATCACCCAATCAGTCAATTCCCTAGTACCCCCTTTACCCATGTCACAACTATGCACTGATTCAGAGCGCAGACACATGACTGTCTAGAACTACAGGTGTTTTCAATCACTTGCAAAAACAGAAACGGACGCTTCTTAACTACCATTCACTAAATGCTCCCAAACTCGTATCATGCCATGTACTTCCTATCCGAAAACATAATTTCCAGATCGTGATCTTATTTAAGACCACTTCGTGAGCGCAACAGAAACTGGAACAGAAGCAACCGTGTTTTGGAAGAGCATCAAAGATGACCTTGACCTTGGAAAGATACATGGTCGTTATGACTTGACCTGTAATGGAATGTCCTCAGATCTTTGGGTAGCTTTAATTAGAGTGGGTTGCCTGCGAGCTATTCTAATCTGGACTCCCAAGGGGGCTGCCAGCAAGTACCCATGTGGACACTCCTTTTGCCATGCCAGAAAACCATCGAGGTGGGTTCTATTCTCTGAAGTTCCTGATTGTGTTTCTGGGTGTGACAACACCATGCCCATGAACGTGTTGTTTTGACTAATGTGGTAAATGTCGAAGACCTGCATCACCTCGGGCTAATATGTCGCGATATAACTGACACAGTATTCGAAACAGCGGTAAAAGAAAACTTACTTACTCAGGTTTACACAGAAGAACATGCCCTTCCTAGTTCCCCTTCTTCGCGGCTTCCACTTCGTTGCAGTATTTTATGTGACTAACTGCCAACTGCAAAAGGGTCAAAGACAAATAATAATCTGGAATATTCCCAGGATCGGGTTATATAAAAAGACAATAATTTTGTTTCCTTTGTTTGATGTTTAACTTCACAACCAGCAATATTCCCGCTGTAAGTCTTGCCTGGTTGTTGGGCGCGTTATGAATAAATTAATGAATAAATTAATTAACTAGTAAATATAAATACTAATCAGACCTTTATTACCCATTATTATGGACCTTCGGTTCAGGTAAACTGCCACCCAAGGCATTTTACTCCGAAAAGACGCTAACAGACATTAGACGAGTGCACAACCTTGACGTGAACCTACCATTTGCAGAACAGTTTCCATTGCTGCTTCGGTATTTGTCTCTTTCTGTAAAGGAAAAGAAGAGGGGTGTACTGAAAATCAATTCCTATCTAGTAAAACCTACCAACATATGATAGGCTTAACATTAATATTTCTGTTCCGTTGGAATATAAAGTTAAGACAAAAAAAAACCCAAAACAAATCCATACATAATAGTCTTCCCATAAATGTCTCCAGCTTTCTTCAAAAGTTAATGTAATACTTCTTTGTGTTTCTTTGTTGTCTATTTGAACGTGGCACCCAGTAAGATATACCGATCACTTTCAGAGAGCAGTTCTGATGAGTTCTACAACCTATTGCTAGAGTCCCATCTGATAGGAACCCGTAGAAAGGAGTTTTGGAAATTGTTTGTTTATTAATTGTTGAGCGACACACTCACCAATATTCCAGCCACAAGGGTTTGTAAAGTTAGCAGCTACAATATATATAGCCAATACCAGTATCATAGTACAACATTGAAGAAAAGGGATGTACTGAAGTCAACATACAAAGTTATGTGAGGACGAATTCATCAATGTTCACTATATATACCTGTGTAAAACAATACACTAATCTCAAGTAAATCTTAGTGCAGGTGTTTACCATTTTTTCTTAAACCCGTCATCATTGATATACTGCCCCTGGACCAAGGAAATACAAATACAATTTTCAAAACGCGGTGTTAACTCAAACCGTTCAGTTTAATGAAGTCCTACTGCAATGCAGTCCAGAAAGTATCAACGTGTTGGCAGACATGCTAAAGGCTGGGGTTGTGTACTCACGTATTCTAAAAAAAAGATACAACAATTACATATATATATGTATATTTAGACATTCATTGCTGGGGATTTATTGCTTGTTACAAGAGGTGAGGTGAGGTGAGGTGAGGTGAAATTGGGTTTAACGTCCCGCCCAAGATTATTGCACTTACATAGCGACGTGCATGCACCTGTGTGTATGGCTACTTGTACTAGTCCGGACTGATGCCGATTT